TCTCTGTTCTTTCCCCAAGTCCCATGATGCTATTTATTCTTATTTCTAATTTCTTATGTACTCAGCCACATTCTTCCCTTCTGCTTGCTCTTCCTTAAGCTCCAATTAGATTCCACCTTTGGAACCCAGAGATTTATTTATATTAACCTTAAAAAATGCCTACAAAAGCACATTAAAGCTAAGAAAAAAACCTTGGAAACAAAATGAAATGTGCTGCTGAGATGGGAAGGGACCATCAGAGCAGTCAGCTCCAATAAAGCTTATTAAGAGACGTCTCTTATTAATCTCAAAACAATATTTAATTTATTCTGCTGGTTTCTCTTTAAGAGATTTGTATTCCTAACTCAGTGCTTGCCTTTTGCTTTCTCCCAGTATTTCCTCCTGTTTTCTCATTACCCAGTCCCAAAATATCCAGATCTCCCTTTTTAATTGCTTTTCTGTACCTCTTCCATACTAATCGGGTAGTTCAGTCACTATCTCTTCACGTCAGACCTCCTTTACCCATTTTTAATCACTCATTTTGACACAGACAATTGTCCACGAAGTACTGGGGTCCAGCAAAAATTATTACTTGGACCTAAACCTAAATCCTTTATTAATTAACCACCTTGCTCCACGGAGCAGAGCCAGACTGCCCAGATATAACACCAGTTAGGCTTGACATGGACTCTGAGAAAATTAAAACATGCTTTGCTTTAGCCACAGGGTCCCAGCACAAGCCCGTAAACACTGCAACAACTTTAGTAGCTCAAAGCACTGGGGAGAGACATTAAACCTGCATGATTTCAGGTCTTAGCGCTGGCAGTTTGAGAGGTGGCAGGAGGCAAGGTCTGGGGGGACTGGAGCTTTGGGGAAACTCACAGCAGTTATAAAGCAAATGGGTTTGCTTGTTGGCATTTTCTAAGAAGTATGGGAGGCCAGGGTGAAGGTGTTCATGGGGAGACTTCGCAGCAAGACCTGCTTCAGTGAGTTCAACAAGCAGCAATAAGTTGTAGCAAAACAACTCTTGAGGAAACCAGCACACGCCACAACATGACAGCATGAACCTCACAGCACTACCAGGGGCCAGGCTGCCTTTGGTCCCAGTTTTCCCAATCTGAAACACTGGCCCTATTAGGGCTTTGAAGCTTATACCTGTGTATTGTTTTAACCAGAGGCTTTTCTTGACTGCAGTGCTTTACCTTTACTCTAATGCACTGCTGCTTTGCCTTCCAAGGTAAAAGTCTTAAAAATAAAGACCAGCACTTCCAGATGCCAACGACATAGTCTCTGACAGCCTTTTCTTTCTAAAAACCTGCTGCTTTCATTAAGTCTTTCTTCACTAGACCCAGAAACTCAATTCTGAGACTTCTGTTACTTTTGGCAAACAGCGTTTCTTTTTCCTCCAGCTACGTTTTAAGAGGCTTCCTTTCTCTGAACATACTGACAGCCAGGGTCAGCTCCTCAAGAATCACTCCAATGCATTTCATTTAAATATAACCCTCCCAGAGTCCTTGCTTCCAATTGCCACTCTAAAGCCAAACCTCAGTCTCAGTAATTGGGGTGGATAAAAAGATAAATAAAAATGCTCAGCAACATAAGTTACACTTACAGCTCCCTTACAGCATTTCTGGGCTGCATTTCCACATGGCTGAGCAGATCAAACTCACTTTGTTGGCTCTTATTTCTTCTGCCCTTGTGCAGCTCCACAAAGCAGGGCCTTCAAGTCCAGCCAGCACCACAACAAATGTGCTAGAACCTTCCCAAGCAAGAGCCAGCCCTGCTCTGAAGAGTCATTAGTGAAGAACTAATTAATAAGAGCAAAAGGATTGGCCCAGCCTTGCCAATTGGAAGATGCAAGATATTGCTGCCTTAATTAGCAGGTTTCCTTAAGGGGAGAAAGGAAAAAAAAAAAAAAAGGCTTTATTTTAAGGGAGTACATCAAAAATATGGGGGCTTTTCTGGGTTTTTCCCCCCTTTTATTTCTTACATACTCATGTGGGATTCATGCCTAGAAGCAGAATTGGGTGCCAGGCCCCCGGGCTTAGCACATGCTGTGTGCTGAGGCAGGGGCAGCCGCAGGCGCCGCATTAAACAGAGGGGGGCAGACACAGGTCTCAGCTGAGCAAAACCAGCCTGGAGCCTGCAGGCCACATCCTCTGTCTGGTGACTCTCTTTTGCCCCCCCCAGCACTGTCAGACCAGGGTGTGCAGTGGGATGCTGAGCCCCCACAGGACTGAGAGGGACTCCAAAGAGGAACCTCCCCTGCCTCCCACTAACTCATGGCCTGTTAGAAGATGCTGCAGAGTCAAAAAGCCTCACCGCAGCCCTGAGCATGACTAGCGGGGAAGTCCGGAGCTGCCACATAATGTTTTCTTCTGATCAAATGCTATTCCCACAATATGCTCTTATTTCAAGTTGTCATTGCCCAAATATTCCATAGCAGAGACTGATGGACTCAACACAATGGGGATAACAGTGTCATGGATTTAAACTTTCTCCCATGCCATTCCCATAGTTACTGCAGCAGTGGTGAGGACCCTGATAAGATACACAAAAGCTCTGCAGCATATCCCATACATGATCCCCCAGCTGCCATGGCCAGCCCCACTTTGCTAATGTCCCCAGGCTGGTTACCAACTCAGCCTGGTTTTTAAAGCCTAAATATCAATCGAGCTGAAACACAAGCAAAACCCTCTCAGAAATGGTGTAGTGTGGTGAAATGATGGGCTTTGCTCTGCCATGCACTACTATGGCCTCACAGACACTCTAAAGTTCCAGTTTTCCCAGCTGAATGGAAGACAAGGTTAGTGCTGCAGAACTATTTTCTCCCCCACAACCCTCCTGTCCCACTAGAAGCAGCAGAAGTGAATGCCAAACTTCATCTGTTTTTCTTCACTGTTTTTAGTGTTCCTGGAGCCTTTCCATGGAGATCACAGGATCCTTTGCTGCTCAGAAACACTGAGGTAGTTTCACCCACCTCGCATGGGCACCTGAAGCGATGGCCAAGTATCCAAGATGTGGCTGTGCTTGTGTTATGCATCTCACCTGCAACATATCTAAAAGATAAATGGGCAGACAGAACAATGCTAAGCTGTGACCGGGTGCTGGAGTCCTAAATAAAGCACACTGGGGCCGCATGGTGCAGTTTTGCATTGCCCAGCAGACTCCACCACAAGAGCTGCTGGATTTTGCAGGTCACTGTTGTGAGGACCAAAAGGCAACTCCAAACAAAAGACTGGGAACCCCTATGCACATTGATGGGAGAGACACAGATTTACAAATGAGTGGTATAGAGGTTTGTGGCGGTAGGGTAGAAAAATTTCTCTGCAGGTTGGTGTTCTGGGTGTTTTCCCACCTCTGGAAATGCTGCAGTACTTCTTTGGAGAGCTGAGACAGCACACCAGTCATTTCAACATCTGGGGAATAGCTAACTCCTGTTCAAATGCCTTAGGATGTAGCATAATAAATACAATTGCTAGCAGTAAATTACAAAGTTTATTAACATAGTCTCCAAGGGTCATTCAAACATGCTGAATCACAGGCAGCACTGGTACCCCTTAAGTAATCTGCATTTTTGATTTATAGTTGCAGCATTCTTGTGGCTTAATTTTTTTCTTGATTACATAAAAGCAACAAGAATTGTATTTGCTGATTTTTTTCTTTTCTTCTTTTGCAGGCAATTTGAAGTTAGGCACCATTTCATATTATTTTTTCACTCTTCAAGGTGTATTCAAGGAAGAATATTAGTAAAAATGGAGAAAAACAAATTCAGCTGTGTAACATGGTAGTAGTGAGAAGGCAGATACCAGAAACACCTGCGAATAATGTGTAGGTGTTCTTCTCAAAGAAGCTTCTGTATGCAATAACTTTTAAAGGTGATATGGCATAATTTGCACAAAGATTTTAAACTCTGTAGTTGAAGCTTGGGCCCTTGGTTTACACGCATTGATATTTTGAGGGCTCATAAGTATCTCTCAATGCAGCATGAAACAGAACCTTTTGATTTTCCATGGCATCTACAGATGATGTAGGAACTCTTCAGAGGGAAAACATGTTGTTTTCTCCTTCAGTGCCACTGAAAACTTTTTCAAGGCCTTCTGCTGCTCCACGGCTGTAGTGAGAAGCACAGATCACTATGGATAGGGCAAAAGCACATTGATGCTTCAGAGAATCCTGTCTTATATGTAACACTGGCAAATTCCCATTGAAACATACCAGAAGCTACTGAATCCACTGACTTCAATGATGCAATGCCTATTTTTTACACCAGAGAAGTATTTACCTTGCTTGCATTCTTCTAACGGATAGGAAAGGGCTGTTTAGATCTTATAATGACTGCTGTGGGGTAACCACCATGGAATTCAGAAAGGAGTCCTTCCAGAGCACTGAAGAACTTCAGCAGCTGGTACTTACTGATACATAGTGACCCCAGGTTAAGGAAGTACAAAATATGCTTTATTCTTTGATCAAATACCAGAGCATGACCCTGGTGGGGTTATTTTAAAGAAACAAAGAGATAACTGGCTATGCTGATCAACCAGAAAGATGACTGCTCAAAAGGGATCATTGCTACGTAGAAACAGTGTCCGGGAACCACTGTTTGATTTTCTGGCATTATCTGAAGCTTGCTCATAACAAAACTTCGGGTCATATCACCACAAGCCAGTACTACACCCATTACGATCAATGGCCAATGCCTTCCTGCCTCTAGAAAAATTACATTGCAACTTTTAATAGGAAATTACAAAATGGATTACCTTTTTATTATAAACTTCTTTGTGTGTTTACCTAGAAGCAAAATAATATTAGTGTCACAATGGCAAAAGAAATCTGTAATTCTAATGAATCTGTCAAATGAGCTGAGAAGCTAAGATAAAAAGTTGCAGAATTTCTTTGGGCTAAGCAGGAAAGAAAAGATTTCATTCTGATTTAAGCTACACCAATGTCTGTCAAGAGCAATTCCAGGAAACTGTGAGACCACTTTACTATAAAGCAAGAGCCAACAAAATGAGCCAGACCTGCAACAAGTGAGTGAACATGTTCTTTGCACAGTCTTCCTCCTGCTGTATCCCCACCAGCTCATGGTCCGTGGTCTCTTCATGGTGACACAGTCCTGAAGTAAGGACAGCAACCCCCATAAAATGAACAGAGCACTGTCACAGGGGCCATGGCGATTTACCAGAAGATTAAACAGAGATACAGAAGGACATTTGCACTAGCCAGCATTAGAAACATTAACCCGTTATGCGCTTAGAAATACTTACGTTTCCGAAACAACAACGAGAGCACCAATATGAAAAGAATGGGCACCGCAACGAGACAGGCAATGAGAAGGACATAGATGGGAAACTGGAAGGGAGAAGAGAATAAAACTGAAAAGGCTTTAGAAGCAAGTTTACTCCAGAGCTGTTCACGCAGGAGTGGGTTGCCCGAGTGGCTCTTAAATATCTGCATTGGGCTGGAGTTGGCAATGTTTTTCTGAGCTTGCCTGTATAAAGTATGGAGAAGACACACCAGATTGATCATGATAAACAAATTGTATTACCTGTTAAGTATTAATTCATCTTCTGATGCGTTTGAGCCCAGATTTATCCCACTTAACATGAACTTCTTAATAAGACATCTAAAGTAAGAGCTTAATTAACCTCATTCTTCTCTTAATTGGAGACAGAGAAATCTAACAATTGTCCTAAGTTGCCTTTTGCCTGGTCACACCTCAAGGATGCTACCTCTGCCTCTCTTACAGAGGTGTCAGGGCAATGAGGTTTTTCTGAAGTGTCCAAGGTAGATGGGATGGTCACAGGCTTTGGCTCTATCCACTGGGAAGATTAATAGATGGAGCCTGAGCTTCTAAGCTGAAGTTTGAGCTACTTTTTCTAAACACTGTCACTTCAGTGTGAATACATTGAAAATCACTAACATGTCCTGCTGTCCTTCTGGCCTCAAGTTAAACTCTCTTGAAACTTAAAGGAGGTTTTACCTTATCTCCTTTATCATCATGTTTTTCAGCCGTGCCATCTGAACTTGACGAAATCCCTGAAAATAACAGAGATTGAAATGATCACTGGCGCAGTCATCTCAAGAAGTGAGGCCCACTGTAGTTGTCACTGCTTTAGCCAAGGAGTGGGGGAATGAGGAGGGCAAAATCTGGCCCTGAGTAGGGGAAATAAAGCACACTGCAACATAAAAAGGAACAATCTGTGTCAGTCACAAATGGTATATCAGGCAGTCAATGGTAAATGTCAATCTTCATCAAGGGAAGAGGAGGCTTCCCAGGGATAAGCCCATGAAACAAGGCAGTAGAAACTTGCCTGCTGTGAAGGAGTTTTCACTTCTGTAAGTATGACAAGATGTCATAGAAAACAGAGGTAGTAAACAAGGCACAAGTCTAACTGGATGAACTGCCTCAATTTACTTGGGTCGGACTTACGTGTAATTGCAGTTTCTGGTAGCTGCATTAGGACTAAAAACCACAGGAAACATCTTAATGTTCAGGTAACTTACCATAAATATAAGAAATCTCTATGAAGATGACGCAATTGTTTTTTCTCTCTCTCTCGGGATATTAAGAATAACTCAGTTCTAGATTTCTAAAATAGGGATGAACAAAATGAGTGCTCATTGCAGCATTCTACTGTTATCCCATGATCTTACTCTCTCACTTTTGACAGTGAATTTAAAGTCACAGAAAGTTAATCTAGGTTTGGGCCTTGGCTCATCGTGATCTTGTGTTACAAAGTACAGAAGTATTTAAGTATTTGGAGCACTTGATCTGTCACAGGAAGCACCCGATGTTTAACAGCATCTTAAAACCAGGAGTCACTCAGCTGAGTGAATCAAAACCTCAGCTTACGTCCTGTGACAGGAAAGTTCCTATGCCCCAGGTCATGCCCTAGTGCATAGAAAGTCTGTGATGAGCAGTGCTTTCAGAGGTTTGACACCACAACAGCCATGCAGCCTCTGTCTGAGCAAAATGTGCCAGGGACCAGATGAGTCGTTTGTGGAGGCACATATGTATGAGTGAAATTTACATTCATGAGATACCCACAATGTCACATGATGATGGGAGGGATCAGACGGTCACAAATAATCCCATTATTTTAAAAAAGGGGGTTTATCTTCCTTTCTTTTCTTCTACTTTTCAGAGTATGGCACTCAGTGAATGAGCTGATCTCCCCTCAACTTCTCAGCTCTGATCAGCTGAGTTGATTTGTCTCCATGTACCAAATAATATGCTTGCATTTTATCAAGGACATGGAGAGGGCACAGGTAGCTCATACACACCTGCAGCTAGAAATTCGCACTGGAGTAGAAAATGGATCATGGCTAAACACTACAGCTAAAAAAATATATGTAATAAAACCCTATCAAGTGCTGAAAATCCCAGCCCCTGGGATTCAACACTGCATTTTGCCATGTACCTGTTTCATGACACCCCTCTTTTCCTCTCTCAGAAAAGAATTGGAGTTCAGCAGAACTACCCCCAAATACACAAGAAGCACACATCTTGCTCTGACATGTGTCCCCCACAAGCCAAATTAAACTTCCTGGCATCATGCTGCAGCCTGCCTGATGGGAGCAAGCACTGCTTCTTACTTCCCACAATTAAAAGAGCAAGGATTCTCTTTTGGGTCTGAAGTGTGCTTGGCATTGTTGGGGTTGTTGCTGGTTGGAAAGCAGGTGAAGACAGAAGAGAAACTAAATCAGAGCCTGGTCAGAAGCAACCAGCTGCCCCAGCTAATCCAGCCTATGTGGCTAGAATTGTGCTTGGAGGTGGAGGGCTCTCTCATCCATGGGTTTCTCTGCCAGCCACTATACTAACATCAGTACAGAGCCCAGCAACAAATTAGCCTTCCTTTACATTACAAAAAGGCTAAAGTTTGTCTGTTTCATGCATTATTTCACAGAATAAAAGGAGACTTGGCTTATGGCTCTTACTAGACAGTGCTCGATCATGCTGCAGCATTTTCACACATTATGACAGCTTGCTTCTCGGAAATAGCATGACACAAGTCTTAGCATGGGTGGGACTTCACATGACTCACATAAGCACCATATATTTTCTGCTATTATTGCTTTTGTGGTGGCTCTTTCTAACCCACAATCACAACTTCAGTTGCCCCAGAACCCCAGAGGTAAGACCCTTTGCAAAGCTTCTTATTTTCAATGGTAGAATACAGGCATTATTCAGAACTGTATCAGAAAGATGACAAGTGAGACAGGGGTGAGAAACCCTCACAAATGCTTGAGAGACCAGTTTAGTTGCTTCTGTGAACCCTCTCCCAGGGCATTAAAGAACAGTTTCCTAAACTCTGCTGAAAGCCTCAAGGTCTAGCAAAAGACAACCTGCAAAAATCCAAATACTGTGTTTTTAAGAATAAAGAGATTCTTGGCAGTATTTGAAACTAAAGGGACTCTCTTAACAGCCAAATATGACATATCATCCCTGACTTTTGGCTTTCCTTTTTTAAAGTTTTCATTTGAGGACATCTGGTAGGCAGACTATCACACCTGAATTACTTGAGCCATGCTACTTTCATCCTTGACTGAGAGACATAAAGTGCAAACTCCATGTAAATTTGTTCATGTCTCAGATGACGGTATGAATTTGTATACCACTTCCTTTTCTCTTGAAGGATTGACTGATAGTTGTGGTAGTTGCCTGCTGCTTTCCATCATGACCAAGGACACATGCTGAGCACTGGAAAGCTGAGCCTGCAGCCACATCTGGCTAAATATATTCAGTGAGACTCAAAGCTCTCAACACTCAGGGAGGATTCAAAATGGAAAGCTCAATGCACTCACAGTGATGACAAATAGGATATCTGAGAATTCAGCTTGGATGGTGACAAAGACCAGTTCTTAACTTCTCTCAAACCTGAGATGCCTGACAGTAGTGAATGACTCAAAATCTACTTCCTTTGGAGGCTTAAAAACATGTTTTCCTCAGCTGTTGTTACACCCTGATTTCAAACAATTCCTGTGTGGACCCAAGATACTTCTTACTTCCAGATGCAATTAGCAGCTATCAGTACATGTTTGGTCCACTCTGAAGAACAGGCAGTACTTTTTCATGTGACTTCTTCATTTCTCTGAACATGCAACTTCTGAACTTGCACTGTTATCCCACTCACCTACAGCTGGCACCTCTTCCACCATGAGAGAAGTGTCAGTGCTTGTAGTTCCCTCTGAAGTCACAAGTGTGCTTGGTAATTTGGTAGTCACTGAAATAAAGTAAAATATAATGCTTAGAATAGTAAAACATAATGCTTATAAAAGGATAATGCTTATAAAGATCACTGATTAGGTTTTCATGTCTGCAGTTCACGCTACCCAGACAACTGATGTACTTTACTAGCATTGCCAGTGGTTAAATGAACAGAAAAGCTGTCCTTAGAGGTTCAGATCAGAAAGAACTTCAAGTGATAGAAGACCCAAGGAATGTACAAAAACCAGCCTTGTATACAGACATCAATCTGTGGAAAAAAGTCACTAATATGGATAAAGTAAAGGAATGTTTAGGATAACAGGTGACTCTGATCAACTAAATATTAATAATAACAGCAGCCTTCATAGGAGATGACAATGTAAGTACTCAATTTTAAGCATGTTTTGAAGTCTCACTGATGTTATTGCTCAAGCAGAACATGCTCTAAACTAACCTTTTCAGCAGACCATTTCAAGTGTCTTTCCCAAATCAAGAAAAAAATCAGTGCATGGTTGAAGCTCCCTTATTTCATCCCAGATTCAGGACTTTGCATTTATTTCTGTTCGTGAAAAACGTTCATTCATGAGGTTTCTGTCACGTTATTTCTCCAGTCTGTTAAAACTCCTCTCAGTGCAAGCCTTATCCTTTGCTCTCATGGCTATTCGCCCCAGTTTAGCATCGTCCACGACATTCGACCTGTGTTTCCTTAAACCTACTGAAATATACCTATAGGCATCTTGAAGAAAATTTCCTAGATACAAACGTAAGTATCTGGAGAGTTTCTATGATGCCAGAGTCAGGCACACACAGACCATGTCTGCTACACAAAAAATAAGAAAGGACTGGTGCTGGTTACCTGTCGTGCTTTCAGTAAGAGTGAGAGACTCTTCTGAGTAGAACACGTAGTCATATTCAACCGTCACAACAGCTTGGAAACTACTTGGAAAATCTGGGAGAGCACTGGTTGTCACCATAGGTGCTGTCACAGCAAATGCTGGGAGAGCAATGGTCTCCGGTGTAGTTACTGCTGGAGACTCAGTGGTTGCAGGTGTTGCTTTGGGGACGGTGGTTGTCAGGAGGACAGGTGTCTCTGCTGTTGTTTGATCATCAGAGGTTGCTGGGAGAGCAAAAGTTGTTTTTCTAAAAACTCTGGGGGAAACAGGAGCCTTTCTCGTGGTGGTTGTTATCACTGGAGGAGCTGCATGGAGAAAACATAGCCAAGAGGAAAGCTAGATGAGAGCATCAACAACTGACCCTAAGGAAAGCCAACCCAGAAATGAATGAAAATTAGCTGCTAAAATACTAAGAATAAAGGTGGGACAGCTGCTGTTTAAAAGGTTGTTTAATTAACAGAAAACATGCCCCAGCCAGAGAAATTCCCAGATTTGCCCTTTTTTTTTTGGTAGATCTCAAACACCTCCTCCTTGCTGCTCCTTAAAGAAATGGAAGGGCCAGAATTTTGTGTGGTAGAACCCAAAACTTGCAAATTTTGTGATTCTGCTTTTCAATGTCCTTATAAAAAGAAACAAAACCAAAGCTAAAAAGAAATCCCAAACCAACCAACCAACCAACCAACCAAAAAAAGCTCAGAGCTTGATTTTCAGCTACAAGCTTCTTGCTGATCTCTTTAACTGGCCCTTTTTTGTGAACTCAGGAATAGACATGGGATTGCAGCATTTTCCCCTGGGTCTCCTGTTATATCAAGTACAACAGGCATACAAGAGTACTGTATACATCTGAGCAACCTGTGAAAATCAGAAAAAGATTTGTCTTTCTGCAGTGTGGGAAGTGGGTACCATCTTTTTGCCTGTGCCTTGCAATGCTTTTCAGACCCTTTCCTTATCCTGCAGCTCAGCAAAATAACAGGAAGGAGAAAAAGTCCTTCCAGCCGCTGAAACAAACTTTGTAAATACACGAATCTCCTTATGACATGAATCAAATTAAAGCCTTTTTGGTGTCGGGGCGAACGCCAAATGAAAACAAATTAATTTGATTCCAAGGGCTTTTCAAATAATACATCTCTCTTTTAATTCCATTATCTTTTAAAATGTGAAATACAGCTACACAACAAGAACTTAAATATTTCATTTGAAAGGCAAAAAAAAGGGTGAAAGTCATGAATTTCTCATCAAAACTGCTCACTGAACATGATTCAAATTGACAACTGGTTCCAGACCTCCCTTGGAAACTATAGAATTTAGGAAAAAACACTTCTGGCCACAAGAAACAAACAAACCACACGTAACATAATCTCCAGTTTTAAACCCCTATCCAGTGGGAGGTTCCTCCCTGCTGGCTGTGTCACGAAGGTCCCCAGACTCACCTCTGATCACCTCCAGCTGTATGTTCCGTTTGATGTCATTGAACCAACCCGGGATCTCCACACGGCAGCAGTATGTACCTGCGTCTTCTGACTGCACTTTTGCAATCGTGAGAGACACGTCTCCATAGGAAATATAGCCCTGGAGACTGTATCGCTGAGATGTCCTGAATGTCACCCTATTTCCAGTGGTGTGCAAAACTTTGTTATTGCACTTTGAATTCGGGCATGGACCTCTGCCCCAGCACATATCAGAGATGTCCTTACGTCGTGCAACCTGGTAGAAGCAAGGCAACTTAACAGCTTGCCCTATTACTCCTGTAATGACACTTTGGGACGTGGTGTGTGCTGTCAAGGAAGAACAAGGAAAGATGAGTGCTGGCAGTCTCCAATGCGTGACTCTACCTATGCAACACAAGAAGGCAGGAAAAGAAACACTCCTGCCTGCAGGCAGGCCACGGTTACTGATCCCCTTGGAGCCTGTAGCAGCTAATGGCTGGGAGCACTAGAGACCACAGCCAGGAGCTCACAGACACTGGCTTGCTGCTGGAGGGCTGCTCACAAAACACATCACCCACATCAGACCTGGTGAGTGAAGCTGAGGTCTGTCATTGGCAGCCCAAGTGCAGACTAGACTTGTGCAAATGGAATTTGGGAATTCTGCTCCCGTCCTAAGAGGCTGAAAGTTGTTCAGTAACCTGGTGTGAAATACATCTGGTTTCCTCGGACCGTCACCGTCTCCTTCAAAAAAGAAATGGTGTCACAGTTGCCTTTCACCGACAGTCTCAATAGCAGAGTCCAAAAGACTTATTCACATGTGAAATTAGGACTTAATTAAGCTGGCAGAGGAGCAGGATCTGCCTATGTTCTCAGAAAGCACACTGCTTTTTCTGTTTCTGAGCAAGCCCTTTCAACTCGCAGACAAGTTGAGCCCACTTACCTTGCAGAGTACTGTGTACACAGAAGCTTTAACTGCTAGCATTATACTGATATTAAAAAGAGCATATTCGTGTTTTCTTTCTGCTCTTACTCTTAACAACCAGCTTTACTTTGTGTTTAGAGCCAATATCCACCTTAGTATCTGGTTTAAACCTTTGATCCATATTGTTCCCTTTTAACTGTCTATGTTGTTCCCAGATTGCCCTAAAAGAGATTCCTTCTTCATAAAAGGCACTATGCAAAAAAGCCTCCCAGGAAAAGATATTTTCTGGTTTACATTCGTCTAGTGTGTATTGGTCCTCCTACCTTGTTGCCTTTTTCCCCCATGTTATCATTTACATATAGTGGAGCAGGAACTGAGGACCTGGGGAGCATCCAGAGCTAGTCCTCTGCTGCAGCAAGAGGATCATCCTTCAGATCTGGTGTCTCATGGCCAGCCTGCTTACCCCAAAAAGGACTTACAGCAGTCACTGCTATTATTACCAGTTTTGGCCCCAGTTTGCCAAACATTTCTATTTTGCCAGCTGTTTGAATGCCTTTCCTTTTTGGCAAGACTCCCAGATAGCAAACAGATGCTACCAACTGTGTCCATGTCTCTTTTGTTTTGTCTTTAATGGACTATTCCCCAGGTGAGGTTTTAGTCTGTGGCAGTCTGCCTCATGACTTGTTATTGGGATGACATTTCAGCTTCTTTATTGCTTATCTCATTGGCAAGATAAACCAACTCATTCGAGTTTCCACAACTCCAAATGCTAAAAGAGTAGAGGCAGACAAAACAACATGCAATATGGTGTGAAGGGCAGAAGCTGTTGCAGTGAAATGAAGGTAGGATGTGCCAACAAAATGAATTCCTGAATACAGGATGAGGCTTTGAAAGATGGCTGCTTGTTTTAGTCCTTGGAAAGAGTAGGTTCATTTGTCTTGTTACAGCAAAACAGCCTATTTCAGTGATGACAGAACAAAACAGTTCATCCAGTTGACCTTGAAAGTCTCCCTTAGGGAGCAGGGGGTTAGTCACTGAACATCGAGTCACCCCAACAAAGATGCTGCAAAGCCAAGACCAGCTTGAAGTGTTCCTGGAGTTAAGGTCACTGCTGCTTGAGGAGAAATGGGCTCATCTCTCTTCTTATTTCATCCCAGTCCTGCACAGCTCAAAAGCAGTTTCATTAAGCAGCCCTTTAACAAGTGAAGATTTGCCTGCTCTTCTCTTTGAAAGCAGCAGAGCACTGAACTTATCAAATAAGTAAATTCATAAAAAGAAGAAGAGGGCAGACACAAGGCACCAGGGAGTCTCCAGTGCCGTTTCCCACCACTGTTGGTGCTAGAAAGTTATGGAGTTTGCAGTTTCGAATCCTCTTTTAATTTATGTGAAGATAATGTGCCTTACATCTGCCTGCACTACAGACTGGTAAGGAAAGCTTCAATACTGCAACAGCCTTAATTCAACAGTGTGAACCTCTGCAAGGAGTGAACGACTTCATTTTCAGTTGCAGCCTCTTCCACGGACATGTTTTCCAAAACTAATAGTAAATAGAACTGAATGAACAAATTTTTGACACTGAGAGGTTCCTGAGGCTGTTATATTGGGGCACCCTGGTCTTACTGTGAGAGGAATCCTACCCTTGTCCATGGCAGTGACTCTTCTAGGCATCCAGATTTGAACCAGAGCATCAGCTATGCCTGGGTAGTCCTACTGAAGTCAATGAAGTTTGCCACTGTAAGTCCTTAATCCATGTGAGAGAGAAATGAACTCAAGTCCTTAATCCATGTGAGAGAGAAATGAACTCAAGATGTTTAATATCTTCCAAAATAGAAAGGGGCATTCAGACTTGTTCAGATCATACAGGCATACACATACTTATATATAGTCTCTCCTGAATCAACCCTCGGTGGCAATTGATATTAAGAAGTAACTCAAATAATTGCTGTTGTAGTGGTCTTGTCCACCATAGACTGGTCATTGGATGGGCAAACAAATACATCCTCCAGCCAAGACAACTGGTTGGAAAATGGGGTTGTTTTCTTGATCTATTTCTGGAATAATTTTCCTTCTCTATACAAGATAGTCAGCATCCTTTCCCTAGCAATCCTAGGTTTTTATTTCTTCTTGAAGTTTCTGTTCTGATGAAATTGCAGAGAAAATGACTGATCAATAGGAAAGAAGCATTTAAATGCCTACTGAGTCTCAAGTCTACCCGTTTTCAGTACTGAGCTGAGCTGAAGGTAACAAAAAGCCATTCTCACCCTTCAGTAGCTGTGTGTATAAGAAAGCTTTTGAAAATAAGACCAAATGGAGGCGAGTACCTCCAGTTTGCTTTGAGGCTGAAGATATGGCAAGGAAAGAGAAGCTCGACTTGTGCAGCACACACCGTGGAGGTTGTGTTACTGTGCCTCAAAGGGGCATGGATCACCTCTTACCCCCTCAGCATCCCCCTGCTGACTGATCCTTTCCACTACTTTTCAGGTCAATTTAAGACCAGCACAGTTACTGTAGATGTGATATGGAATATTCCATCCTGGCAGAGGTTCGCCAATCAATATTTAGTCATCTGAGACAGAATTTCCTGAAATGCCTGTGTGATTTAAAAGCACAACTCTCATTAGGAGCTCACGTCCCTCTGAAAGCGGCTGAACCCACATTCCTGAGCCACCTCAGGCAGTGTGGAACTGCCTTGCTGATGTCTAAACACACATGCAGAAATGTAGCCAATACCCACCACACTTGCAAGACCCAGTCTCCCATGTTACTCTTCCTTGGCTTCTACCCATTTCAGGGTTCAGATTTTTGATGGGTGAACTGAACATTCGGGAGTAAAAGCAGAGGAATCTCCAGCCGCGCTTTCCCATCCTCAGTTCATAGCAGCAGACAACCCGCAGAGATTCAGAAAATCCTTTCTTTATCATGTATATTCACTCATTACTCTGCCAATGTTTCAGTTCTCTAGCTTGGGCTTGTATAGTGGGGTGGACAGACTGATGAAGAAGCAAAGCCAGCAGTACAGATTTAACAGTAGCAAAGAATCAGACCATCTAGGGCTACAGGGAAACTAACCAAACCCATACACAGAGAAACCACATACATTCTTTAAAAGTAAAAATATTCAAATGAAAAGAAATATCCATCAGTTTTAACTCAGTAAATTCATAAAGTATTGAAATTCTGTATACAATTACACCCCATTTCACTGTTTCGTTTTCAGTTTTAAAGTTGCAAAATTCTTGTTTTCTGAGCAAGCACACAAAAAGCAGGTGAAGACTCACCTATAAAGCTCTGTATCATTATCCAGTGGAACAGTGAAAAATGGGACATTTTAGCTGATGGAGGATCCAGGGCAGCGAGTGGAAAGAGAGAAAACTAGATCATATACTTCCCAGGGGTGCTGAGTGAGCCCAACTGAAGTCTCATTTCTCCATTTCCAGATTTTATGTACTGCAACTGCCTCCTTCCTATGTTTCCGGACAGAATCCGGTCAAGAGAGGCAATTCTGCTGTATTCAGCATTGGTGTGGTCACATTTTGAGTACTGCACGCAGTTCTGGGCCCCACTCTGCATGGCACTACCACCAGAGATTTCAATATACTATTTGTTTTGCCTTATGCCCCATTACCATTCTTCAGGGCTGAGCAGCAAGAGCAAGCTTTGTGCTCTTACACTCCTAAACACTTGGCTTTGTCTCCACCTGACTTTGTCTTCACTTATATTTTCTTAGTGCTTCATTTCCCCCAATTCTTCCTTTTGCTTGAAGACCTTTTGCTCTTCTTTTCCCCAGCTTCATATTTCATACTTGCAAAGACAGCCTTGGAGGAACTCTGATGAATGTTTTCTCTCCTAAACAATGTCCTTCCCAAAGATCTGCAACACCATTGCCAAGAAATACTTTTTACTCTTTCATTTTTACTTTCTGACAAATTGATAAAGAAGTTCTCTGGAAGTTCTTGCCTGGAAAAGATGAGTAATAAAGCCAACGAAATTCAGGGCATTAGGGTCAAGAATGAAGAATTGCAGATAGACAAAATTCTGTGCAAATAAATATAGCATGGTGCAAACAGGAGAGATGTTGCAAGTTCAAATGATAAAATGATGGGCTTTAACCAGGCATTACCCCCTCAGGAAAGAGATTTTGGGCTTATCATGAGTAGTCAAGCCCATAAATATACCACCCCTATGCTTGGTAGCATTGGAAAAAAAAAAGCAAATGAAGTTCTAGCAGTTGTTAGTAAAGCCATAAAAAACAAAGCAGAAGACAGCATTACACCACTGTACAAATCTACCTTAGATTCTATGTATAGCTCTAGTCACCTCAAGAGCCTATCTTAGATCCAGAAATTATCCCAAGAAGGGCAAAAAGAATGGTGGAATCTATGGGAAGAAATTCCACAGGAGAGTTAGATAGGTAGTCCAAGATGAGTAAGTCTGGAAAAGAGATAAGCTATAGGGTACTATGAACAGGTCTACAAAATCTTGAGTAGCACAGGAAGGTTGGAGAGGGATTAGTTGTTCAGTATCCCCTCCCAGCGCAGCATCAGAGAAGAACTTTTATCCTTGCAGACCTGTTGGACTCAGTAGTACATCAGAGCAGGACGCCACCTCTCATTAGCTTCCTCACCCATCACACCACCACTATTTAAGAGAGGCACAAAGTGTACTCCCAATAGACGAGGCTCCAGCAGAGACAGAATGCCTCGTTTCTTTCACCACCCAATTGATGCTGCTGTAGCCAACTTAGTATCAGATTCAAGCAGCACGAAGCTTGGAGAACTATTCCGAATCAAAGTGTTGCTGCAGTGCTGCTCTGTAACTTCACATGCCTCAGTGCAGCATAAACAGCAGCCAGTGGGGATAGACACAACAGTACAGCAGCATCCTATTGTCAACATTGTATGACAGGTTAACCAGCACAGCATATAATTTGCTATATTCTACCAGCTACAGTTCATACAATGCCAAGTACATACAGCCCCAGCTGTTCTGTGAAGAGAACTAACAAAACTTGATGCATCCCATATCCTGCAGACTTTTCCCCTGCAATGATCCCAGTTACCCCTTTGCCTCCCACAGCCCATGGCTGTGAGCTGATGCCCAGCCTGTGCCAGTGCAGGGAGCAGCTGAATCCTTCCTGGGGCACAAATTTGTGTCTTTATCCAGCTACCAATTTCCATAAAGCTTGCCCAAACGGAATCAGTCACTGTGTTTCAGGCGTCCAGGGAAGGAGGAGGATAAACACAGCATCATACCAGCTTTGTTTCTTTAGCGAGGCTGAGCTAAATGCAGCAGAGTGCATTGAAAAAGGCCACCAAAAATCCAAGTGTGCTGGGAAGAACCAGGAAACCGTGGCTTGCTTTCTACTCCTGTCCTGCTATCTAGTGGGCTCTTGCAGGCACAAGGGGAAAGAGCTGTCTCAAATAAACGGGTTTGCAACTCATTAACCTTATCACACTCAATACGCTGCCAGCTTGTGTGCAGCTGGATGACCTCTTAATGGGTTAACAGGCTCTAAGTGCCACCCACTCCTGCCTGGGGGCCATTCTGACAAGCATGTTCCAAGATCCACTGAAATGAGTGGAAGTAATGAAAAACACAGGGTGCTGCTGCCTGCATGTATGTATGTGTTATGTTGCATGCCCAAGACGAATTCTTGCTCTGCACAACCTTTGCAAAGTCTGTTTACCAATTAACTGCAGAGCAGAAGAAAAACTTCAATATTTTGATTATCAGGTATTCTAGAACTTTACCTGGAAAACTCACTCATGTAAGAATTAGTCTGAGTAAGTCTGCGATATTAAGAAAAAAAATCCTTATGGGCAAGCAATTTTCATGATTCAAGGGCAGCCTCAAGCTCCTTAAGAGCATGATTGGCTGGAATCAAATTATTATGGAAACCTCACACTTGCCTAACTCTGATCCCAGTAGAGATTGATTTGGTAAAACTGCATAAAGCAGAGATTGCTGCAGTTATTTTCTGAGGTCTGGTTCAGAAGCCAGATCACTTCCTCCAGCTCCAGTCATGGGCTAGAGCTCACAGCAGCAATATGCTCAGCCAGGCAGAAGGAAAGGAAAGCAATGTCTGCAGGTGGGTAATTTTAGTTTAGTAATTGTTACTAATAGTCAAATATAAAAATACAGTCTAGGGTCCCTCTAGTTTTGGTGCCTTCTTACACAAAGCAACCTGTGTTATGGAGACGGCAGAGCTAGCTTCCTCCATCGCTTTTCCTGGCCCAGAGATCCCCAGCATCTGTGCTCCCACACCGAGCTCTTCAGTCAACCATGAATTCACCTCCATATTTCCCACTTTTTAGGCCTGCTGCAACAAACAGCCCCGAGACAATGCACAGGACAAATGAAAATACAAAGCACACCAGGGTCACCTATCCCATGGACTCTTTTGCAGCTGGTGCTTCTGCCCGCTGATGGCACGGACTGGTTTGTAATTGGCAGATACAATACACAGTGAAGAGAAACCTTTTTTTAAGTGTGTGGTTTTCCTTTTTTGAAGGAGTTGCTATTCTGGCATTTCCTTTTTTTTTTTTTTCCAAAAAGGAAAAGAGAAGTTGAGGCAGATAATAAGTATAATGGTAACTTTCTTTAGGATAAGCGGATTCTGGAAATTTCCATTCAAGCCAGTAGGGTTTCTGTTTCTGGAATAGGCTGATAAAAGATTTTAATTAGAAGTGTAGCTTTTATTTGTTTTATCAGAATGATGTGAATAATGCTTCAATAGTCCAGTCACATTTAGCTGCTGAGCAGAGGGAGCAGCTACCATTGCGCAAGCCATTTGACATCCCAGCGCTGACCAAGGCGAGCATGCATACCATCCTTAGTGCACTATATAAATGTTTTCCTCTGCATGGACATCATCTTCCAGTGCACTGTGGTTCCCTGCACCTTCTGGCCTCCAAAATGCAACAAAGCTGCACAAAAGAGTAAAAATCATGCTGTTAAACATAAAACAGAAAAATAGAGAGTAGGGAGCTACATCAATCAGCCCACTGGAAAAGTGTCAGGTATGCAAAACCCCAGTTACTTAAACATGACTGACAGTGAATCATTTTTCCACTTATGAGACAACCCACACCTGAAGTTTCCATGCTTCCTAATGCAATAAACTGAAAGTCACATTCATTTTTGCTTCCTAGCTAATGATAAGTAGCAGGATTTATTTATTTCTTTTTACAATGTCCTGTTAACTTGACATTAAAAAAGAAAGTTGAAGTATGTGCTGGACTGGTCAGCATACTGACACCACTTTCTTTCTGCAACCTAGTTTGTCCTATTAGCCCAAGCAGAAACAGAATACTTACTTTGAAAAGTCACCCGTCTTCTTCGTATTGAATAAATACTCTAAGGACCATTGAGAATGAAAATACAGAAAAAAGAAAAAGAAAACAAATCATTTTCTTTAAACCATCAGAAGCAAGTAGAGGGTTCAAAAAAAAATCAGGTATAAGAAACTAAATAAGGGAACTTTAAGCAGATATTTTCAGTATAGGAAATTCCCATTATTTCATGTGAAATCTAATTCGTATGGCTTGGTCTGACTAAAAGCCTCTACGCAGGAAGGCTGGCACACAGAAAAACATTGGACATAGTCATATGAAACCAGTGCCCCTCCCATTATGATTGGGAAGGACTGGGACAACATGGCAACTGAAGCATGGGTAAGAGGAAAGGAGTGGGGCAGGAGAGATGGGCTCATATCCCATTTTGCTGTCCTGTGCCCTAGAGGCTAAGATGAAGAGCTGAGACAGCAACCACAGTGCAGAGCACAGAGTGAGGCCATCCAAAGACCTTAGCTCACTTCCCTGAAGCAGAAGACAGCGGTGATTTGGTATACCCCATCAATCCTTGAATAACCACTTGTGGAAAGTACTTACGTCTAGTGAGGAACAGAGCCAAAATCAGGATGGCTAGAAGTATCACAGATAAACCAATCCCAATGTATAGCTCATTTTGTGAATGCTGCTGACTGGGAAGTGTAACAGACACATTCTGTAAAACACAAAACAGATGAGCATTAATGGCACTGAGAGCATGAAGTCCATACAGTACCCAAAGGCCATTTGTGTATTTGGCAACCCTGTGGTAAAAGTCCCAGTTCGATCCCCATTGTATGGGAGTACAGAGCATCCCTCTGCTGTTAGGTGGCCCAGCTTTCACCCCCCCCCCATATCCTGCCATACCTGCAGGTTTGCGGTTACATCCAAGCAGTCTGAGGTGCTTGAGCAGGGACCAGAGGCCTGAAAGGCAATATAGATGTTTTTAAAGCTCTTCCTCCATTAGTAGGAAGTACTTTATGCATGCAAAGCAGGTTTTGTATTTTTTCCTCTATAATAATGAGCACATAAGCATTCTTTCATAAGCACTAAACGTGCAGACTACAAAAAAAGCCCATTCTTTTTCAATCCATCTAAAGCAATACAAGTAAACTGTAGAGATGACCCAATAACCTCTCATGCCTAGATAGGCTATAGCACAACAGAGATGCTTACAGTCTGAGGAGCTTCCGCAACAGAAACCGATGGCCACGTTCTTGTGATGGTAAAGGAGGATTCGCTGGCATTCCCAGGAGCTGAGGGAAGGCAAGACAAACACATCATCTCCACAGGGAACCGTTCTGCTTTGACAGGGAGGAATTTGTACTGCTGACTTGGGACCACCGAACTTAAGTATTTCTCTATCAGGAGTCTCGGCTCTGCATATCGCAAAAAGGTTGGTACCTTCAGAGTGCAGCACGAAACGCTGAATACTGAACCTCTGCTGCCCTTTTCAGAGCTTTGAATTCCTTCCAAGAAACACTTCGGTCTTGCTATCACCTTAACACAGTGATTAGAAGGAAGGAACAACCAAGGTAGGCTTCTGTTCTTGGAGCCATGAAGAAGTAGTGGATGCCTAAAGCAAACTTAGGTTGTCTGATGAAAACTGACTAAGGTTAGCTCAGGGCCTTGAAAGAGCAAGTAGTGCAGAGTTAGAGAAAGCAAGTGATGCTTTTAAAGTCCCAGACAGCTATACAGTAAACAGACTGAGCAATGTGTGATATTTGCATAAGGACCTGCAGAATATTTTGAGGTAATTCTCAGAGCAAAGCTGTTTGCAGTATTTAAAATTCAGAGCTATAAACTGACTTCTTCCATATCATCAGTCTCAGTTTCTCCATGGGTTGTCAGATGATATACAACCCTCCCGAAAACACACACATTATGACAACCCCAGCTGGTTCCTTTGGTGTTTTAAATTGTTACCCTCATCCCGGAAACTTTATTTTGAAGAGGACAGGATCATCTGCTTCACTGTTCTCTTCTATTGGAGATTCTGGACTATTCCTGCATCAGAGGTATATGGCCACCTGCCTTTTCTAGTTTCCCTCTGTGTGAACATGCACGTATTAACTTGTGTTTTGAAAACATAAACTGTTCCACCAGTAGCTGAGGAAGATGTCACAAGGTTAAGAAAACCTGTGAGTTCTAAGATTGGAAGCCATGTTATCTGCAACCAGAACAGAAACAGGCTGAGAGAGTTTTCACTTCTTCTTCCAAGCAGGAAATGCAACTTGTAACATTTTAGAGTTGAGTAGGTGGAAACATCAGAGATGCAGGGAGATATACAAAAAGCATCCCTGATTTTTCTTTCAAAATCCAGAGATGAAGCTATTGTTACACTATGAGCTCCCTCATGCACTAGAAACTAAAGTTGTCTTTCAGACTGAAAAAATATGCAGCTAAGTGGGTATGATACAAGTCTATAAACTTGTGAGAGGATTGGAGAAACTGAGTTGTTCACTGTCTCTTCCGCTACAGTGAGAGGCCTCACGTTATTAAACATGCATAGCTACAGAGGACGTGGGCAGCCCCCTGAGACACACATTATAGCAGGGTAGAAGAATACTTGGGTGCTGTATCACAAGATTACTGCCCTGTTTCTAAAATCCTCCTTAATCGTCTGCTGTGGACTGCCACAGGATCCTGAATTTGATGCACTTTGAGCTAGAGCAGTAAACCAGTTCTATGCTATAAAGCAACAAATAAATTAAGTAGTGGGAACACCCAACTCCTAAAAATTTGTGGCTTACTGTTTATAGTAAACCGTTTCCAGAAGGCGTATTTTAGCACAAAGAAAACAACATACCAGAACAACAGCCACAAGAAAAACAATGCTTGCAGCACCAATAAAACATCTACTTAAGCATAACACCTGGAAGCAAACTCCCTCCCGTGTATACATGTTCCTTCTGTGGGACTCTCTATAGAAAATCAGGCAGAAATTAAATCAAGTCCTGATCTTTGGTTCTATGGTCATGTGTAGTAAATCTTAGCCAAGACTTTTCTATCATCTATCACTTTGTATCCTAAGATCCCCATTTGCAATATAGTTTATATAGGCTATTAAGAGTAATACTTGGATAAAAGTTACCTGAGGTCTGTTGAGAGGTGTAAGTGTGAGGACTTGCAGTAGAGATCCTAGCTGATATTAAAAAATAAAACAAAACCAACATACGTTACAATAAACCTTGGTGTGAATTTGTGGTGAAAAGCTAAAGTGTTTCCATAACAAATTTGCTAGCACCAGCTACACAGTACATGTGTCAGTCACTTGTTCTGTACATTATCATGCTTTTTACAAACAAGAGAAAAAAACCTAAAACTCAGAGGAAGATTCTATTAAAACCAAAAAGTCTACACTAATGTTTTGTCCCTGTGCTTTACTCTAGAATCAAACAGGGAAAATGAACCACCCTTTTCTATGAAAATTATAATGCTTTGGATGAATTAATTACTCTGTGCTGCCGTTTCTCTGCAATTCTTCAAATAGTGTTTCTAAGAAAGCTCAGTAGTATTGTGTACCATGAAACAAAGCACCACATCCTTTTTTTAATTGCAGAGACTGTACTGGGATTACAACAATGTCAAAGACAGCTTAATTTGAACTGCACTAACAGTGGTTCTGCAGAGTCCTAAATATCAGTCCTATAGATGATTATAGAAATCATATCCACCACAAGCTTTGAAACTGAGACCCAACAGCCGATTTACCACAATGGTACGAGCACACAAGCACACCTCTGCACTCACCTTTCTCTATCACAACCTCATGATTACTTGTCTGATCATTGAACCACCCTGGGATCTCCACACGGCAGCAGTATGTCCCACTGTCTGCTTCCTTGGCATTCATGATCGTGAGCGACACGTCGCCCATCAGCAGGTTCCCTTTCAACATGTACCTGCTGTCATACTGTGCTGTCACCTTCCATCCATCTGTCCAGATAATGGGCTGATAACATTTTGAAGAAGGGCAGCTGCCACGACCCCAGCACATTGATGTGATGTCATATACACTCTTAACACTGTAAAAGCAGGGCACAGTGACATTCTGACCAACCTCTCCTTCCACAACCGATTCTGATACTGTGGGGCCTGTGGACAAAAAGACAAACGCAGTTGTTGAGCACAGGGCATGCAAGTGGAAGCTTTGCACATCTTGCATGACCCAGTACCTCCAAAGACCACCAGGCATTGCTGGATTTGGTTTTCCATGAATAGATGTGAATCCCAGTAGGGAGGGATAATGGTTGGGCCAGTGATTTGTTCAGAATGTGCCTCTAGCCAAAGAAAGAAGAGAGACACTTCCTGCAGCCTCTGCAGGTAGGCAGAAAGGTAAAGAGAAAACAGAGTTTGATGTGCACACGTCTGAGTCTTCTCTTTAGCCACGGCCAGTCTGTTGTTATTTTTTGCCGTAGATTAGATTTAATCCAAGCCACGCATGGAGGAACAGTAAGACATTAACTGTCATTAAAACCAGTGTGGGAAACTTCCTCCATTTCGATGAAAAGCCACTAAATGGCAGGTTTCCTCAGAATGATCGCTACTGAATCCATTCCCTCTGTTCTTGCCTAATGACAGATTTGATTATACCTATCAGGAGATACTTTTCAGAGCTTTTCTGATAAATTGTATATTTTCTTCTTTGTCTTAAGACTTTATTGTCTTTTGTCTTAAGACATTATTGTCTTCCCTCATTCTTATGCAGTTTCTAACTTGTTTGGGTCCCATTAAAGATCATTTTTCATGGTTCCAGAAGGATGTGCCACTCTATTCAAGTCAAACCAGTGAGACGTAGCAGCCAGCAGCCCATTCATCACGGTGAGATCATTTCTTTTGCTGTATTTAGACCACTCCAGTCAATATTCCCTTCAGGAGGGTTTTGATGAAAGAAGTGTCATCCAAAATCATCTGTGCCCTGGTGATCCAGTTGTAGCCAGCCTGTAACCACCTTCTTCTAACAGGTTATGCAGCAGCGCTCCCCACTTGCACATTCTGTCTGCACATCCCCACTTGCACACTCAAAAAACCCCTGTTTGCCATATTCTTACTACCACGTATTTCTAACCCAATTCAGTAACGGGATCATGTGTGTAAATATTTAAACCTATCTGTATTAATGTTTCAGGGAATTCTCCATTGCAAGTACAAGCAACAAGTTATCTCTATTAAGTCTAGCAGTCTATAATTAGGAAGGGAGCTCCTGAAGGCAAATCTGCCGACAGGCACCGGTGGATCACATGCACTGTAGGGGCTTGATTGCAATTGTCCCTTGTGAAAAAGCTGTTCTTCCCAGCTCAATCATTTTCCTAAGCTATTATAGTCAAAAACAATTCTGCATGCAGAGATTTTCCCACAATAGCATACTAGAAACTAACCTCTGAAACTAACATATTTTGTTTATTATAAAACAGCAAGCTTGAAATTAATCTCACCATGAAAGGCTTCATAAAGAACTACAAGGAACAGTATCTGTGATACACCTTTTCTTTCTGCTGAACTTATCCTATCACCAAATTTTTAACGTTGTCTGCCTTACTAGTACCACTCTGCAACCTGTTTTTTTCTTGCTGTTGCCTTTAACAATATTTTCCAAAGGGGGGGGTGGGGTGGGAAGAGAGAATAAAAAAGGAATAATTCTCAAAGTAAAAAAAGAGAAATTATCTATTTGTTCCAATAAAATTTCGTATTGGCTAAAAACCACCAGAAGCCACAGCTGACCTTTTCCCAGTCTTCCTAAGCAGTCACCTTCATAAGGCCAGTTGAAGTGAAATATTCGTTTTACATGTTTTCTAAAAGGATTTAAAGTTTTTTGTTCATCTCAGATCATCATTATTGTCTAAAACCCACAAAAGATAATTCACTACTAAGACTAGCAAACAGCTCCAGAAGCAGCATCTTTAAAACCATCATACGTACCCTCAACATCATTTTGCCTTAAAAAGGAGATAAGATCATCAGGATATTGAGCCACAGCGATAAAGTTCTATTCATAACACAAACCTGCAGCTTCTGTGCCACGTGGTCACCCGTCCCTTGTAACGTAACATTGCAACCCTCAGAAACATGTTAACTCCATCCACCTCCACCTACTCTCTGAGAGCCACGTAGTTACCTGTAAACAGGACCAGAAGAATCCAGTTCATGCAGAAACAAGACGACATTGTGGCTAAATGTAAGGAACGACGCTCCCAATGACCCTTTGGGCATTCAAGAAAAATCATCTTCTTCACAAGCTTCTTGTTTTACTTCTTAGTGTGCCATTTCAGCCACGAATGTCCTTCTAGTCTAATCCGGATTGCCTTTCCTGTGGTTAGTCTGGTAGTGTCTAGCAGCACAGCAATTGCTGCTGCTCGTGATAGTGCCCACAGCCTGGCTGTTGACTAAAAGGTTAAAATACTTTGCAGCACTTCAGAAATCTACTTCTCATTTTTTCCAGATCTGTCTGATTACAGTAGACGAAACTGTTGTCAGCACCACTGAGCTGACACAGCGCTCAGTAATCCATTGTCCCACACTGCCTCCCCGCCCGTGTTTGCTGTAGCAGACAATGTGGATAAGAGATTACACAGGATACGTAAGGCTGTGGTAAATGGAAAGGACTTGGCAAAAAAACCAGATTCCTAGGAAGAACTACTGAAGTATTTAATCATAAGTTTCTGGTTCTAATACTTAGATGCAACTCAGAGCATCTTTCGGCAAATGCTCTTTTCTTTGTAGGGTAGAATTTGGTATTACTGAAAAGCTGTCCTACTCTTATGCAGTTGCAGCCCAATAGAGCTGCAGCCTTTTTTCATCTGACTCTTAAAAATTCTATATGCACCTGGGCTTTTGCAATATGAAGTAAAACATGCAGAATACACAGGTCACTTTAAAAGCAATGTGGAAACCCTGTCATTCCAGGCTCAAGGCTCATTGACAAAATGTTGCTGAAATACAGCTTTTGAGAAGTGGTGTGCCTTGGCCACTCTCCCTTGTCCCTGGACCACCTAACTGTTCTTGAGGACATCATGTCTTTTCATAATGTTTGGACTAGAACTGCAGCTGTGTTCAAGTGTGTTTGATCTAGGGCCAACAAGCATTCTGTGCTGAAGCAACTAACCTACCTCATGCTGGTTTATATATACAAAATTAAGTCCTAAGGAGTTATTGTTATCAATAACTGCAACAGCAAAGATGCTTCCAAAAGCTTACCCAAAACCATACATGAGGCTAGAATCAGAACCAACAGAGCTGTGTTGCCCTTCTACCTTACATGAAAACAGAGTCACCAAAGTGACAGGTTCTTTAAGTGAAAAGGAGGAAAAACAAGGGATCAAAGCTGTGAGACAGACAAACATCAGCAACATACTTGCAGAAGAGAACTGATAGGAGGGATAAAGGGGGATTTTTGCATGTGGTGTCTGGAAGCAGGACTCTTAAGAAAACAGTTCCTCTTTGCTCCTGTTTTTGGGGAAACAGAAACTGCAGGTACGTGCTACAGGAACAATTCTGATCGTTAACAGCAGGATCCTGAAACTACTCTGCATGAATGGAAAAAGCAGGGCAGCCTGGCTCTAGCAGAAGGCAGGTGACAGCATTCACCAAAGCTGTGCCATGATAGTACACGGCACTGGCTGATGAACTCTTGGTGGTTGCATTACACCTGCAGACCAGGACACATTCCTACTGCCAGTTACCTGCAATAGCATGCAATGTGCACAGGTCCACGTGGATTTTTTTTCCACATGGGCCATGTCTGAGCTCTGAAATAAATAAATAGGATAAGAAAACAAGGCAACTTACCCCAGAACTCTGCCTGAGCCAATTTTATTCACTTTACACAGGTTGTTTTGTTCTTACAATAGTCTACAGCAGTTTGGGTGCTGTCTGTATCCCCAGGAAAGCCCTTCTGGTCACATCATAAGAGAATGTGATAAATACAGGGCAACAGTTAACACACTTGCTTTAGATTTCATCTCACAGTCCATATGGAAAGCCTTGATATAATTTCTGAGCTTCTGCATGCCTGTTTTCAAAGTTCCCGTTTCCAGTTTGTGCAAGAAATGAGTGCTATTTCTGTAGAAAATGTGCCAACATCAGCTTTTTCATGCAGCCCTCTAAGTAGATCCTCATTTTTCTTTACTCAGAGCATAGTCAGATCGTACTTTGTGAAAATAACACCACAGCAAAACAATAAATATTGAAATAAGCTTAAAGCATTATTGAAAGCATCTTTTCTTTGTGCTGTTTTAAAGCCCTATCATTAGTAACTTTTCTTCTTTCCCCTAGATGAGTAGAGCTACAGACTTGCCCCTTTTGCCCACTGGCGACACATTTGGTTTCTCTGTATCAAGAAACTTGTGGAACTTTTCAAGTAACTGTACTTGTTAGCTCTGTGCTTGTTCAGATAGCATAAGAGTAGGGCTGGGCTTTTTCTTTTCCTTCCTATTTTTTAATTGAGAGCCAAGAAAATGCTGATGCTAACTTTATCTCACGAGGTTTCATAAGGCATATATAATCCAACACATCTTGCATACGTTAACATTTCAGGGGCAGAATGCTGCAGATGTTATCCCATCCAAAAATAGAATCAGGATTTGCTGAGGTAAGGGAGGATCTCGTCATCAGGAGAAAGTTAATTAACACAATGGAGAAAAGAATAGTTATCAACAAATTTGCTCCTCAGAGTCACATCATCCTGCAGCATTTGAAATCCCATTTCCTGAGACTGACCCCACTGCAGCTCCCAGCCATTGTTTTCTAAAAGCAAAGTTGTAACAGAAAAAGGGACAACTATCATTGCTTTGATAGTTGGCAATGGAAGAGAAAAATCTATGGTTTGGCTGAAAAAAGCCCAGAAGCCTCCCACAGCTTCCTAAGTGTTTGCCTTAAACATAGGAAAAACAAAAGATAATCTAGAATAAACAAATTATTCATGAAACTTTTTTGAGAATGAAAGCAGCTTTGAGTATTCTTTAAATGACACAATCCCCTATCACCTCAATGGTTTCACAGAGTTTACTGCAATTCTTAGCTGCCGCTAGAACCCAGCCTGGGTGGTATTTTGGTACCTAGGCCTACAAACTTATTAAAGGCATAAAACTTAGACAAATATCAACAGAAAACCATTGAGCATCTATGACCATTCTTTTGATGGGGAAGTTAAAAGGACCATGACAAACTTATCCTGGAGGCACCAAATGTTTCTTTGCATCTTCCACATGAAACAACATTTGCCAAGGAGATACCAAATCAATTTTGCTTGCTTGTATTTGTTTTAGTTACCTACAAGCAATATAAATTAGATCTAATTCAGAGAGAAGGAAGGAAACAGCAGTGGTTAAGGACAAAAGTGTTAACTTCATAGAATTATTTACACATTTCTCAAAAAACCCCAACAAAACAAAACCAAAACCACCATGTTTCTACTTCCTGTTACTTACACTTAAAATAGCAGATGATGCCCACCAAGGAGCCATAAACTTGCTTCTGTTCATCTTTATCTGCATTGAGCTCAATCCCCACCACCTTTTACCTGCCCATTTAAGTAACATTTCTGGTAACAACAGAATTACTCACTTCTATGATTCTATACTATGGCATTACACGGCAAGAAGATGGAGGTAGGATTTCCCTCACAGGAGGGGCAGGGTAAAGAAGTCATTTCACCATGAAATCTCTTTTCCTCTTGCTATAGATGGGTTGGTCCAACTCTAATGTTTTTTAAACACAGTTGATGTAGATTTCACTTAATGGAGTACTTGTAGGTTCTTTCAAACTCAGTTCTCAATGAGTATAAAGGTTAATTATCCAACCAGACTCTTCCTGAGAAAAAACACTCAGCTGGGCACAGGGCCCGCCTAAAAAGCAAATACAAAGCACCTGAGCACCTGCACTGCAAAATGATTAATTTTAATTCATTGTTGAGATTCCCGACAAGTGTGTCTCTATACAGCAAATTACATTATGTTACATCTGTAATTGTCATGGTTTAACCCAGCTGGCAACTAAGTCCCAGCTTGTTCACTTCCCTCCACCCTCACCCTCTGCAGTCAGATGAAGAGGAAAATAAAATTAGAAAAGTAAAACCTATGGGTTAAGAACATTTAATATTTAAAATAAGGTATAATACTGCTATTTCTCTTTTCATCATTATTAGTAAAAAGAGAGAGACACGACAAAAAGCCACAACAAAGCAAACAATAGTGATGCACAACACAGTTGCCCACCAACCACTGAACGATGCCCAGGCAGTCCCAAGCAGACATCAGTGGGTCCTGGCTAGCTCCCCCCAGTTTCTATACTGAGCATTATGTTCTATGGTATGGAATATCCCTTTGGATAGTTCAGCTCAGGTGTCCTGGCTGTTCTCTCTTGGCTTCCTGTGCCCATCCTCACTGGCAGAGAATGGGAAACTGAGAATCCTTCATCAAAGTAAGCAGGACTTGACAACAACTAAGCCATCAGTGTATTATCAGCATTGTTCTCAGACTAAAGCCAAAGCAGAGCTCTGCACCTGCTATTAGGAAGAAAACTAACTCTCTTCCAGCTGAAACCAGGGCAGTAATAAAGGAATTATTAGGTTCTCTGTAGTAGTTATATTATTACCAAAAGGAAAGGAATAGATTTTGCAGACATTACACCGATTTTAATATTGAAGTATACATTCCTGAAAAGATCCATTGATATTGTAAACAAGTAGCACTTATTTGGAACGGAGGAACTGCCAACTGCAATTCCTCTTGGTAAGATCCCTTATTTGCTTCCACACTATAAAGCAATTAAAAAAATAAATAAAACAAAAAAAGCAGCATACCCAAAAAAGCAGAAAGTGACAAGTTAAAGTACAACAGAAGCTAACTTTAATCTGTGGCTACCACCTCACATGGTGTATTTAATAAAAAGTATACATTCTGTTTTCTACCAGTAACGGCACAGCTCACAAAACAAACATTTTCATCTGCCTAGTCACTCACAGCCTACAGCAGGTGCACAATGAATGCATTGTCTGCTAGTTCAGCAGCAAAACAACATAGTGTGTACCTTCAGAATCCATTGTGCCTCTCACTACAGTGAGCTAAGTGGGGGCTTTTATGTCATTTCATCAATAATACTACACATAGCTGCATCTTTGTCTAAAACCTGATCTCTCTTGCTACCAGAACGCTCTCTCTGCTTTTCGCTCTGTCCCATACAGTTGTTGCCATCACCAGTATCCATTGGTTCCACTTTCACCCTCAGTCCTCCCTCTGAATGAGGCAGATCATCAGGCAAGGAAGCCAGGCAGTTCTGAATCATCTCTACAACTCGTTCCAAGTGCTTCTGAAATCGCTCTGCTGTTTCCAAACGCTGCCGTTTCTGCACCTCCATCATGACTCTCAGTGTCTCCCGAGCTTGGTGAGGGCGATACTCATTTATGAGATGATGGACATGAACAAAAAGCAGTTTCAAGTCTTCCAGTTTCTCCTCTCGCTTTATACTCCCCGGACTCCTTATCAAGATATCCAAGAGGTCCAAAAAGTTGACCAGGATGGACATATTAAGTTTTCTTAATTCCTTCTTGTGGTCAAACTGCATTGGATGCAACCGTTCGATACCCTGGCTCTCCAAGGGTCGAATAATCAGATCATCACACTGGAACTGATTACCAAACATCATATAACTGTCTTTCACTGGTGGAGGTGGCTTTGGAGCCAGGCCTTTACGGATGTTTTCATCAGTGTATTCTTTTATGTACTGCATTGGGGGCGGAGGAAGAGCACTCACTTGCTGAGGTTCACCCATTTTTGCCAGATGAAAATACCTAGGGAAATGCCCCAAGAAATACATGTTAAACAACTTGTGTGACAACCTTATTGTATAAATAGAAACAAAAGCAATAAAAGGAAGAAAATGAGTCAGAAGAAAGCCATCTCAATGCACAGAGTACAAGAAGCTGAATAAATCCACGCTAGCTGTTCACTAAGATACAC